TGCTGTTATGCTGCCATTATTTGGCAGATATAGGGTAAAATAATGGCAGATTTTTTTTCTGTTATTTACCTATTATTTACCTTTTATTCATTCATTCAACCTATGATATTTAAGGATTTCAGAGTACAGTATATTGCAAACAAAATTTAAATTCATTAATAAAGTTAGAAAAAAGAAAGGCTGATAATATTGATAAAGAATTAGCAACCAATTCTGAAAATTTTATCAAAGCAGAGCTTTCTTTAACCTTTAAAGGATTAAATATTAATAATTGTACTGCTTAAGCAATTATTCTTCAATTAGAAGAAACTAAAATTGAATTAAAAAATATCAAAAAAAAATTATCAAAATTCTTAATTATAATAGATCAACTTTATGAACAATTAGAACAGACTTCAAGATATTTATAATAATAATTAAAATATATATTAATTAATTAATTAAAATATAATAACTTATTAACTTTTAATTTTAGCAAAAGTACTAATAGTATAGTAGATTTGAAATCTGTATTAGATATAATTGATCAACTTATTAATAAGAGAAAGCTTGGCTCTTCAGTTTTAGTTAGCATATATATTTATCTTAAATTAGTATTAAATCAGTCATGCCCAATGTGTAGTAATAAAAAAATTACAAGTCACAAATATATAATTAAAGTTATTGGATTGAATATACATATTACTGTTATATGTTCTAATTGTAAAATGCAAATAAACTATAATAATAAGACTAATGGCATGAATTTTTTGAAAGCAGTAGCAGCTACAAGATTAGTAAGAAGTATGAATCAAGAAGAAATTAGAACAATACTCTATTAATTAGATTAATATAACAAAATGGCATAAAATAATATTTTCACAATCAAGATTTTTTTATAGCTAAATTGGTAGAAATTACCAATAAAAATACTAAACAGAATTTACATATGATATATAAATTAATTCAATCACAAAACAAATACATTCTTGAAGCTTCATTTAATTGTTTATAAAGTCATGTTTGAGAAGTAATGCAAGCAAGTAAAGAATTGGTATTTAACAGAATAATTAAGAATGTATTAATTTATTAAAATAATTTATTTTAAATATTAAATAATTCATAATAATATAATTTTGTATAAATTGTTTATACAAACCTATTATTGCATTTCATGTTGTTGAAAAACCAAAAGAATATAAAAATAAAAATAGAAAAACTATAATTATAAATAAGAAAAATTATAATAACAGTTCTAAACAAATAGAACATGCTATTCTTATCATAATAATTGATAAAATTATACCAATTTAAGAAGAATATAATATTGTTTTTGATATTGCTATTGATAGTGACTTGGATAGCAATAAAACACTAGCTAATTAAAGTATTATATATAAAAGTTTTGGTGATTTAAAACATAAGTTGAAGCTCATCAAAAAAAAAATAAGTATATAGATATGTAATATACAATATAGAACAATATTAATTATTATTATTATTTTTTTTTGTTAAAGGCTATACTTGTAGTGATACTTTATTGACTTTTATTAGGTTAGCTATTATAATTATTTTTACAAAGATGAGAGTACAACTAGTCATATGTACAACTTTTAGTTGTTTATTTAAGTAGTCTGCTCTAAGGTTTTATACTAGATGTCATATCTATAATCTACTAGAAGATTATTTATTTAAACTCTCTGATCATCTACTTTGTCATAATATAATCCCAACTTACCTCTATATATACCTAACTGGTATACTGTCTAAGCAGTATAGTATTTACCTTTTTTGTACTAGTTTTCAGGCTATTAATACATCACCTGCCAGTAAGGTGCAAGGAGCCTTCTATTGTTAACTATCTACTCACTTTTAGAATACTAATAAGAACTACTCTTACAGAGTTTACTCAGACCCTGGCATTAACTTCACAGCATATTCCTAGTAGTTTTAGTATATTCTTGCTTTGACCTCAAACTCCCAATCCAAATAGCCTAAAAGGACTATAACCTGTCCTTGGTATATTGAAGCTGGTTTAATATTGGTAGTCTAGTTAGTGATACTTCTCACTTGAGATTCTTGCCTACTCGATTTTTTCACATTGGTATCTATTTTTTAAATTTAGACTTTACAGTAGTACTGTTGAAGATCTGTATTACCTCTTTGCTCAGAATTTTCAAGTAGGCTTCAGTTTTCCAGTTTTACAGATTTATATAGCCTAAGGACTTATTTTAAATTTGCACTGCATAGTATCAGTTTGTATTTTTTTGTGTAACCAAAGTTACACAAATATCCCAGACCTGCCAGCTATGCTAGTATGACTATAGTTACAAGCATCCTATTCCAACTGATTGACAGAATGCTGTCATCATAATATCTTCTATATATTATATAAGTAATTATTTAAATTTTGTTATTAGCAAATTTTGAACTCACAACTTACTACTTGGAGGTATAACAACTTATTCACTTTACTAAATCACCACCTTTAATATTAATTATTAAAATTATATTAAATTAAATTTATTTATTACTTTAGTAAATCACATTAACTGAAAACAGTTTAAACAACCTATTATAAAATATTATTTCAAGTATATATATGTAGCAATTACTTGTACTGCTAATTCAGATATAAAAAGTTCAACAGATGATAAATTATTTGATATACAAACTAAAACAGTAATTGACTACTTACATAGCAAACATGACAAATATTAATCTAAGATTTGCTGAATTGTAGAAAATACAAATCTTAAACTAGATATACCTAATTTAATTATTTATAGTATTGTACAATGCAATGATTTAGAAGAATTTTTATGAAAAATTATAAAATTACCAGATTAGCAAAATCTTATAACAATAATTAGAACTAGTGCTAATGAGATTATTAATCATTTGAAATTAAATTATATTGATAAAAAAACAGACTATTCAAAGTCTTTTGCAGTTCACTATGCATTAGCAGTATTACATAATAATGTTGGCCTGGTAGAGATGTTAACTATTATAAGAAAAGTTGACAAATTATATAAATTTTCAAATCAAGATATATATAATATTAGTAAGATACAGGAACAAAAAGAATATCAATATGCAACAAATATAGCTAAAATTGAAGTCTGAAATCAAGCTTGTGCTTAAAAAATTATAAATCAGAAAGCTTGTCTTGGAGAATTTAATTTTGATCAAGTATATAAATAATTTATCAAATATTTTTTTAAAAAAATAACAAGTATTCATATCTATTTTTATTATAAGATCTAGTACTATATGATCAAATAGTTCAACAAAGTTTAGAAACTATGCAATTTCATCTTTCTTTTGCAACAAAGATATCTAATTTCAAGACTATTATTAAGTGTAATAGTTGCTAATCTTTTCCTATATGATATCCTAATAGTCTTTGTCTTGTATATAGCTTTTATAAACTTTATAGTTGCTCTTAGCAAATACCAAATTGAGTTTATCACAATAAAAACAAAGATGAACCAGATTTAAAAAATAGAATATTAGATGCAATTTTTAGTAAAGTGTTTAACTTTACAGAATTCAGATCAAAGCAATAAGAAAATATTGATAGTTTTACTGCAAGAAATAATACTTTGTGTATTTTATCTACTGATGAAGGAAAGACCTTTATTTATACTTTTTTAGTTTTAATATTTACAGAATTAACTGTAGTTTTTACTTTACTAAAGGCATTAATGGAAGATCAAATAATAAATATTATTACAGCAAATTATTTTAATTATTATATTTCAAATATGTTTAATTTTTTGGGTTTAAAATAGCAAAAGCTAGTAAATATAGGTATTCTATCAGCAATATTATATGCATTTTCTAAACAATCATCTGATGTTCAAGAAACAATTTTTTCTAAAATTGCATCTGGTTTATATAAATACTACTAGTAACTTCAGAGAAATATATAAAAAATCTAGCATTTTCTCATATATTACAAATTATTACATATAATCAAAAATTGCAATTCATTATTGATGAAGCATACTGTATAAATTAATATATTTATTTTTGGTAAGTTATAAAAATATTAACATTACAAAAGGACCTAATACTAATATATTATATATTGTCTATAGGAATAATTGAGCTAAATTAAATCCACTTAAACAAGATTTCTTCTCCTTACTAATTCTTCTTTTTACTGCAACTTGTAGCCAAACAAATGCACAAATAATCAAAGATAATTTTGAATTATTAGATTTAAAAATATTCCGAAGTTCTACAATATCTTAATTTAAAATTTGATTGAAAATTCTAAATAAGTTAGCACAAAAAAAAAATCAAATAAAGATATTATTAGATCTTATACAATCAAATTTTCCTAATCGATGTATAGTTTACTTTGCAACTATTAATGATTGTAATACTTATTATAATGTCTTAGCTAAATACTTTAAGTTAAATATTATTAGAAAGTATTATGAATCTATGCCAAGTAAAGATCAAAATATAAATTTAGAAAATTAGAAAAATGATCAATTAAAATTAATTTTTATAACAATTGCATTTGAAATAGGTTGAATGTTAATGATATACATAGTGTTATTTATATCACATTTTTAATATCTATAGATGTATTAGTTCAAGAAACAGGCTATGCTAATTAAGATAGAGTAGCAACAAAAAATGTTATTATGTATTCAAGCTCAGACATTTATACATTATTATTAATCATTTTACAAGATTATTCAAAATATTAAAAAAAAAAAAATACTAATTAGTATTTATATTTAAAAAAATTAATATAAATTACTATAATGATGAAGAAGTCTATCTAGAAACTAATAATTCAATGAACATAATACAATAATATAAATATTTACAAAAAAAGCAAGATTTAATTTTTAAGATCATAACATATTATGAATCAGTATATGAATGTTATCAACAACTAGCATATCAGAGTTTCTTATAGTCTAATGATCTTCTGATAGTTGAATATAATAATTGTAATAATTGTGACTATCAAAAAAAAGATGATACATGCTGATATAATGTTGAAACAGAGGCTAGACGAATAGTAAAAATTGTAAACCAAATAGTATCATAACAACTATTATTTAGTTTTTCTTGATCTTATATAAAATTAGATGATATACTTGATATATTCATGGGTTTTAAATACCAAAATATAAAAAAAAGGTTTTTAAAATCTGGTTGATTTTCAAAAACCTACCAAAAAAGAGACTATTCAAAAATATAAGAATACATGATATTTGTTAGAGCAATTAATATTACATAGAATGATTCAATACAAAATAGAATTAAAATGAAT